GGAAGGAGAGAGGACGGAAAGTAGGGAGGGAAGAAGGGGAAAAGAGGGAGAGAGGAAGGGAAAAAGGTAGAATGGCAGGAAGGAAGGAAGAATGCGCAAAAGATAATGAAACACACAAAACCCCAACTGCATTACCTGACAATAATTTTATTATTATTATAAACACTTTTCATTGATTTATATTCCTAACTGAGTTGTACCTGAGCTCTGACCAAGCTAATGACAGTTAATAACTAAAGGGGTTGCAGTTATTTTACTTCTTAGCCTATCAATGATTCAAGCACTAAAATATGGAAAATGAGCTCAAGAAGGTTGTCATTCCTATCGATAACTACGAAGAAATGTACTGCATCGTTCTGAGTACTATATCGTACCCACCCAGACGTCTCTCTCTCGATGGTTCCTTGCGCTTCGTCACCAGTCACTCGCGTTTCGCGCTCGCCTCTATGCGAAACCATGCAGAAAACGAAGCGCCTGAGGAAGAGGCGGCTGTATTAGAGCATATGTCTGAGGTATCCTGCGAATACATACCACCGAAGCAGCCTCTTTATTCGGCTTTATTCGCAAGCTACCTCAGAGAAGAAAGAATCGTGTGAATTACGTCGTTATGTTCAAATGAAACCTCTTGGAAGTACCAACGTATGTTCAACTTATTAGCTTTGGGTTTTGTTTTTAGCTGTTGTTATTACTTTTCTTTTCAGTATTAACGCGTATTATGAGACTTTTCCAGTGCAAAAAAGAACAAGATCAACATTCAGCCATCTTAAGCGAACAAGAATTTATTATATAAACACCAATGAAATACCAGGTGAGCTTTAGCGCGAAATTATGAAATCTTCACACGTTATTTTCACATGTGACAAGATCACCGTTGCTATGGCTACATAATAAATCGCGCCTTTCGCAGCAAAAAAATATTTGAGTGAAATGGTTTGGCATGTCATTGGTGTTTATATAATAAATAGAACATTACACGGCCGCTTGGAGATACGAAATTTCTCGTCTCGTGTTGAAAAATATTTCACTCGTTCGCACTCGGCGCGGCCATGTAATATCCTCTATTCATTATATGGCCAAAAAGAGAACTTTCTCTTAAGGGACCAAAGCGGGAAATCCCGCGAGCGGGCAAGATGGGCCAATCAGGGCACAGAACTGACTGCACCTTGCCGCTGCGGAATCAGTCATATAATAAACCTTCCCACCGAAACGACAACTGGCTACTTTATGAATCAAAGATGAAATATTAACTGATTGGGAGTTTATGATAATAAATTGGTTCATATCTTGGAGAATAAAGTATCTTCTTCGGTGAATTAAAGTCAGTGATTCGCCTCAGATCACAGGTACCAAATGACATGAGGAAAACTGGTTGAAAATAGGCTAGGCCTTAAAAGACAGTACATCAATTTCAATAATAATTACATCTTAACTAAAATCGTTCTCTTTAATTTAAATAGAAAGTGTTGTTCAACGCAAGCAGAAACCACTTCCTGAAACCCAGCCGCTAATTAAAATCCGCACCTTAATTTTCAGTAATGGTACACGCTGGCGGGTAATTATCTGTTATTCCTGAATATTAGGAAAACTGTCCACTTCTCCAGTTTCTGTGTTTGGGATGCTGTCAACTTCGTAGCTAACTTTATATTTTAACCTGATCTTTTCCTGTGATATAAAAAAAAATTTTCCAAGAGTTAGCATTTACGATTCTTAGCCTCAAACACATGAATAGCTACATTTTTACAACATTCAGTTCCTAGTGATTACAAGCTAATTTGAATTTATCCTCTTGAGCGAAAACTTAGTTATATCAATTGCCCAAAAACTTCTCCATGAGTTTAAGCATCTATTCGTATTTTAAGACAATTAATTCATAGTCCTTTACACATCTTAATAAAGCAATAACGTCACGAAAAGACGTTTCAGTAAACTTAAGTACACTGGTCAGATTTTGTCTCTTGGTACTCCGTGGCAAAACAAAACAAAACAAACAAGTAGAGGCCAAAAACCGCTGTCAGAAACCTTTCGCAATATAAATCATCAACAAGATTGTACCTCAACGGAAAAAAGGAATGATGCCATACGCACGATCAGAGGGATTATCCACTCAGCAGTTTGGCAATGACAGAGCTTACCTTTGCGGGGTTNAGCTACATTTTTACAACATTCAGTTCCTAGTGATTACAAGCTAATTTGAATTTATCCTCTTGAGCGAAAACTTAGTTATATCAATTGCCCAAAAACTTCTCCATGAGTTTAAGCATCTATTCGTATTTTAAAACAATTAATTCATAGTCCTTTACACATCTTAATAATGCAATAACGTCACGAAAAGACGTTTCAGTACACTGGTCAGATTTTGTCTCTTGGTACTCCGTGGCAAAACAAAACAAAACAAACAAGTAGAGGCCAAAAACCGCTGTCAGAAACCTTTCGCAATATAAATCATCAACAAGGGAAAGATTGTACCTCAACGGAAAAAAGGAATGATGCCATACGCACGATCAGAGGGATTATCCACTCAGCAGTTCGGCAATGACAGAGCTTACCTTTGCGGGGTTAGCTATCAGCATGACTTGAGTGATGGCTGAAGGAGGAAGGATGGGGTTATAACCCGGTAACTCGCTCCCTGATGGAGGCTGAAGCTTCACTCTCATCGTCTGCAAAACAAAGCAAGACCCCACAATAACGTCCGAAATTCATATCTAATTTTGATGCGAGTACTGGAACCTTGCTGGTGACCCATTTTCCACAAATGTGGCCGGTCAAAGAGATTTGAGGAAAAAAAATATGTAATTTGTTTGCCCACGGAGCACTTAAGAGTTCTTAAGAACTCGTTGAAACGTATCCGTGCGTTTCAGATCGAATTGGAATTTGGAAGTGTTGGTTTTTAAGGAGAGGGGAAAACCGGAGTACCCGGAGAAAAACCTCTTGGAGCAAGGGAGAGAACCAACAACAAACTCAACCCACATATGGCGTCGACGCCAGGATTTGAACCCGGGCCGCACTGGTGGGAGGCGAGTGCTCTCACCACTGCGCCACCCTTGCTCTCTCGAAAAAAGTAAATGAAGGTGAATACACGGGTGCGCTAATGACAGAGGCCCGGATTAAGGAAGCTGATGAGTACAAAAAAGGCAAATACAAAAACAAGAAAATGGAGTAAATTGACATACTGTTTTTCACCCAAAAGGCTCTCAATTTTCACTGAGCTCACCTTTTCCGAATAAGCTCCCTTTTCCCTCGGCCAAAGCAGCTGATAAGTGCACCCTACCCTGCTCCGCCCCATCAGCAAAGGTTTATAAACAAAGAAAAGACATAATGGTCGAGAGAAACCTCTTATCTTCTTACCTTTGGTACTGCAGCTTGGAAGATAAAATTTTTAACCGCTGAAGACAGCGAACTCATGGTGGATATGACAACTATCATTAGATCATTCCTATTTAACTCTGCACTTGTCTGTAAATTAAGTGGAGCAAATTGACAAAGTGTTAAATAAATTAATAGTCAGACGAGAAGGGCTAGCCGATGAGTTACCCTGACAATGGTGGTGGTGATGATGATGATGATGATGATGCCTACCCCTCTCCTAAGTCAACATTAACACTTACTTCTCACTTAGGGCAAAATGTTGAGTTAGGGGAGGGGTAGGTGGGCAGTTTCCCAGAAACCTAACTTGATCCCTAGCTCTCCGTGTAAAGGAAAGGGGGGAAAATCGTGAGGAGATGGCTTGCTCGCGATTTTTTTCCATGTTTCCTCCACCAAAGGAGTCTGATCCCAAGATAGATGATAACCGATGCGTTTTTGTGAAAGCTGTACTAACAAATGACGATGATGCTACAGATTATGACGATGATGATTTCTTACTCAAATTACTCCCTTAAGGGTCAGACTGTAGAGTTAATAATTTGCACTGAATGTACACAATATAAGACTTTTGTCGCAACGCATAACAGGACATAACTCACATCACCAGGACTTACCTTTGCAAAATGGAAAATTATTCTGATGCCGTTCTTGTCAAGAGCTGTTAGTGGTGGATGGCTTCCTATGGAAATGAAAAGGGGAAGCGTTGTAGTTTGATTCTTCCGGCTGAACTTGTAAAATGTTATCTCATTCCCCGATCAAAATGACAGTTAATCCCACAAGTCAAAAATCGGAGAAATGTATGATTAAAATAATTACGAGCGAACACAATCAACGCATTAAAAACAAAGGCCCTGGCCGAAAGAAGGCGGAATGTGGCAGCAGGTTTACTGAAACACGCATGTGCGCAAAGTACACGAACGACATCTCTGGACATAATTTTTAGCCACCTCATTTCGATTAGACGAGCAACCACGTAAAGCAAAGCGAACAGACTCTGTCTTCTTCAGCTTTCGGAACGATTAACTCATGGAAGAACGCTCTTTCTGTATTACAGGTACTTTTAGTGGGGAAACTACAATAGCTTGTGTCGATTTTTTCACGTTTGACGTATTTGACAGGAAGCGGCGTTCTGTGCACTCGTGTTTTTCGCTTGCTTGACGTTATCTGACAAAGTGAGGCTGTTTTGAAGTCTTTTCTACGACTGACTGATAAAAGGTTGCACTAGGTAAACATACTGTTCAAGAAAGTCATTATTTCAAATAATTCCAGTCTGGAAATCCAAAGCAATAATCTCAATAGAGGCTTAGAGCCTATTATTAGATCTGCACGTCTAAAGGTTTGTTAAGCCGCGGATTTAAGTTAGACTTCGTTTAAATAACCGACCATTCCTGTTTACCTGGTTTTATGGTATCTAAAGGCACAAATACATTGTCCAGGGCGGCAGGTACAGTTGGTTTAGGTGGTGCTGTGACAGAAGCGAAGCTTGCAGGTGAATTGGAACTTAAATTAAGTAAACCGGCAGGCTGTGGTGATAATGCAGCACTTGGCTCAAGCCCAAGTGATAGTAAGCTGTCTGTTGACGGGCCTGTAACCTGCTGCTGCTGCTGCTGCTGCTGCTCGGGTGCTGCTTTTTCCTGTAATGGTGTTACAGTTTGTTTCTGTTTCTGTTGTTGTTTCTGTGTCTGCAGCATTTCCTGACCCAGTAGGTCAACCCGTGACCCTCCGAAACAACCGAGCAAAGGAAAGGCCAAGTGGCAAGGAGCCGGAGGGGACCCAGTGGTTGCCATGGTGAGGCTACTCGAACCCATACTCATTGGCCCTGGTCTGGGTGGCATTGACATTACTCCCAGTCCAATGGGTTGGAAAGGTATTCTAGGCATTTGTCCTGTTGCCATATAAGCAGGCGGGCCCACACCGGGTGTTTGGTATTGACCCATGGGTCGGACCACGCCCACTGTTGAAGACATATTCGTTGGGCCCATGCCAAAATTCTGAGCTGGTGCTCCCCAAGGTCCCATACTGGCTGGTTGTTGCGCTCCCTGTGGTAATTTTACACACAGTAAAGTGAATTTAGGGCTCCTTACGAAACTGGGGCCTTTTTGTCAGAACTCTCAATAATTAACGGGCCCGAAAAGCGGTAATTGTTGTTTTCATATACATTTTCATATAACATGAAAAAACTATCAGTTGATTAAACAAAATGGGCTGGTTTGTTAGCTTCATGTAGGACCCACGATTTTATTCTTTACATTTTGATTTGAATATTTGATTACAGAACTGAAAAGTTACCGGGACTTTCGAGGTTACCCCTCACTTTTTACATACCAAGTACAAACTGAATGAAATACATGTACTGTATCTTGTAATTGATGGATCTCAAAAAAAACTGTACCTGGATCGGCAAATGCACGGTGGAAGCTGCAGGTGGAGCATCAATGTCATGAAGCCCTGAAAAACAATGTTACAGCATTCTCTCTTGGTTACAGTTATCAAGTAGTATCAATAAATCACAAACCAAGTGGAAAAAAAAGGTTTAAAATTCAGTCTACACTTTGTTGTGCTCAAAATATGTGGGTACATTTTGAAAGCCACATTAAAACGACAGAAATATAACGGTGAGTTTGCGCAAACTGCACACCAGAAAGAAGACCAATTACATGAACATTTGTTATTGATCAGTACACAATACATTGATAACGCCAAAAAAGGACAAATTTCCGGCCACATTTCCCTTTCTTCCCAAGCAAAGTAATGCTCTGATGAGTCCATATGAATATTTCTAAAATAGGCATGGACCGTAAACGTTACGTACCAAGCCAATTTTAGAAGGATTTGTCTAGGGTCATCAGGGCATAAAGGTGCTTATATCTCCCCGCTAATTTGCACTAACAGGCTGATATTTGGCAAGGGCGCTTTTTTCACCTTCTTCTTTCTGAATTTACTAACCAATCCCACAATCTCATAAATTCGATTATTTGCGCTGTCACGCTTCTCTTCTCTTTACGTGACATCCGTGATTAAATAAATAAATACCTCAATACTTACCAAGGGCCTTAACTTCGTTTTCCAGTACACTAGAAGCAGGTGTTTCTGCTGAATCAGCTGTCTGACCGCCTACACCTAAATCAATAAGTGTGGACGCAGGTCCTGTTGACACCTCATGTACATCTGCAGTCTGAGTTGTTGGAGGGAGTGTTGGTTCAGTCCTAGCGGACACGCCAGGGGCTAATCCAAATATCTTTCGGTAGTACTCTAACACTCGTGATAGATCATCATTTACCCGTAGGATTTCAGCTGAAAAAGTCAGCACAACAACTACAGTTAGTTCTTTTTTTTAAAAAAAAAATGTATTAAATTTGATTTGCTGCACTAAACTAGGGTTGGTTCTTCCCACAAAGAGCACAATTCCACGAGTTTTCCAGAAATATATCAGAAAATGTTAACGTCCAGGGCCTAATTGTTTGAAGGCCAATTAACGCTAACCCAGGGTTAAATTTAAAGCTGGGTTTCTTTTTCTTTTGTTCAAAAGCATTTTCCGGGATAACTTTCTGTATTCTTTTTAGAGTATCCAACCATCAAATTGTAGACTAAGAATATAACTGAATTTGCCTCTTAAGCTTTTATATCTGATTCAAATTTCCCCTTAACCCTAGGTTATCCAGACTTGCCAAGTCTCACGACTTTGTCGTGATTCTCACGATTTCACGACCTATCTCACGTTCTCACGAGTTGGCAACTGATTTTTCAAGCTCTCTCCAAAGTCAAACTCCAAACAATTTTGGAATTGTAGGGTTCGTTTCCAAGTCAGATATCAATAGATAGCCAGCTCAATTCGAAGAAAACGCTTAGCGTTCGCGTTTGATTGCATTCTTCTAGCCTACCGCTACTTGCCGCTGCCACCAACTGTGAGGCTGTTTCTCTCAAGATGGCCGCCAAAAAAACATAAAAATTACAAAACCTATAACTCGTAAAATTGATCGTGATGTTTACTGCTCCAGCTTTAAAGTGATAGGTGACTTCCAATACCCATAACCTCCACTGAAAGTCCTTCCAATAGGAAATTTGGGACATCTCACGACCTTTTACCCATTTCTCATTACTTTTCTCAGGTCTAGGTTCAGAGTCTCACATTTTTTGCCTTTTGGGGGTTAGCAAGTCTGGTTATCTTAACTCTGCTTTTAACAACCCGGCCCAGTTCAATTGTTGCATGCACTTGTGCTGAATCTAATGCAAATGAGCAAGAACCGTAGATTTTCACCATTAGCATTAAATTTGATTCAGCACACATGAAATGCAATGTTTAAACCGGACCTAAGACAAAGATTAGTCATACAACTAAACACTATAAAATGCTTTTCAGTTATTTCATGGAAATTAATTTCTAAATGAAAAAATCAAAGGAAGATGCACGTAAATAAGGAGAAATATCCAACTGCTGTTTTCTACAGTAGAGCATTGGAAGAAAATTCTGAATTTCCAGGTATTTTCTAGACAACCCAGGAGAAGTACAGATCCTAAATCATCTAAAAATATCTTTATATCTGATTAGAACCAAAGGAGTTTTTCATAGTTGATTTATCTGACCTAGCCCCTCATCACCATCTTCGGTTGCTGAACTTGCTAATCTAAACAGCTGTGGTCTCATCTTATCACAGGCATCATAAAGCTCCTATCAATTAAACAACAAAATGTATACATTATACCAAGTGCAGAAGTCCAGTATACAAAGCAAACACCCTCGAAAGCTGAGGATTAAATTAAATACATGTTTCATGTTTCATTCCTTTCACGGGTTAAGATGAACTCAACAAAATGGCCCGCTCCCAATGTATGGGTCTTCTTAGCTCAAATGGTAGAGCACTGCAGTGCTAATGCAGAGGCCAGGGGAGTTCGAATCCCGTTGAAGTCCCGAGATTTTTTTTCAGGTTTATTTGCAATTGCTTAAATTGCAACAACCACTGTGACGTTCATATCTTCATTCAAAATTTGTCTTTTCACAGTTCACATCATCTTTATTTTTCATTCCTTTCACAGGTTAAGATGAACTCAACAAATTGGACTCCTGCCAATGTATAGGTCCTCATAGCTCAAATGGTAGAGCACTATAATGCTAATGCAGAGGCGATGAGTTCAAATTCTGTTGCAGTCCCAAAAAATTTTTTTCGGGTTTAGTTGCAATTGCTTAAATTGCAACAACCACTGTGATGATCATGTCTTCATTCAAAATTTGTATTTCCATAGTTCACATCATCTTCATAAATTAAATGCAGTTAAATGAAAATTTAATTTATTTAGATGCATAGATTCACAAAGAGCAGCAATTTAACTAAGAAGCATATCGCAAAGAGCAGCTGGCATGGTCTGCTTATGGCTGTCAGCAGGAAATAAATATTACAGCCTTTAAGCAAATAACTATGGCGACCTCTACCAAAGTCCTAAAACGACACAGTGCACATGCTTGGAAATGACAGTTCGCCACAGTTCCAAATACTGTAATATGAAAACCTATCAGTCTTGTGGCATAGTAGCTACTAATGTATAAGTCAACTTTTTTCCTATTGTTACGATCACTGGTTTTAAAACGTATCATAGGTTGTTATTCACTTTATCAAGAAAGTATTTGACGCTTCCCGTTTTCCAGTCATAACATCTTCCCTGCATTTTACTGACAGCGAAATTTAATGAACAAGTCCACAACTGCCATAGTAGAGGTCGCCATAGTGATTAGCTTGAAGTCCCTATTAGTGTGTAAACTGAGCATGAAGCTTATAATTCAGCCTGTTAAATTATTACAAGTTCACTGGACCATAACGATTATGTTACTTACCTTCATCAACTCCTTGTCCTGTGCAGGAGAGCTTGGGCTGTAGTGGTTCAACATCTCTGTTAACAATTTGATGTTATTGCAGCATGTGTCTACTTCTGTGTTTCTTTTCACTTGCCGTTCTATCTTCATTTCATCCTTATCAAAATAAATACAACAGATCATGTACTATTTCATAGGATAACACATCTAGAACAGTATTCAAATATTATTGCAGAAGTATTTATAAAAATTAATTTACAATCTAAGGCAGTTCACTAGTTCCAGGAAGTAATCCAATTTCATTTATGGGAAACACAGATTATTTCACTCAAAAGTTTGGTTTATTACTTCATCAGTGTGCAACAAAAGTCCTGTTCAATAGCCTGGTGCTGGTGGAGCAACCTGTCATGCCAAGCTATCCTGCTTTAACTATTGCATCATTGTCGTCCTAAGAGGAAGCAACATTAATTTGCCAAAGAATATAGGATAAAATTGAGGTTCATGAAAAAGGAGTTGGTTGTCATACATGACTGCTCTGGGATTATAAACTTTAGCAACAACTAGGCAAGTGCTTTTTTGTCTTGTTTTGTGTCCGATAGGCCATTTGCACTTAGAGGCATGTGACATCGTTTTTATGAAAATGAAAGTTATATGATTTTGCCTTCGAAAGACGATTAGTGGGTCATATCTTAAACAAAATAATGGTAATTTGGTTTTTCAAACCCGAACCATTTTCTTAAAATGAATAAGTTCGTAAATGGTCACGAGACCAAAATTTGATTTTTAAAATTATGAATTACCTCTCTCTGAACACAAATTTTGCACTTAAACTTCAAGGAGAATGTTGAAAAGATGAAGTGATAACGTTTACAGCACATCTGAGCATAAATATGAAACGTAGAACAAGATATGAGCAAGAAGTAGTTTTGGCCGCCATGTTGGAGGGCAAAAGTATGCCCTCCAACATGGCGGCCAATACAAATCATGCTACTTTGCTGAAAAATCAAAGTGCCATAAAATATCTTCCTTAAATGCGTTTCCTCTCAAATTTCGGGTGTAAGATAATTTTTGTGTGCTCTAACAGTTTTTGGCATCAGCAAGATTCCAACTCGTTGTTCAAAGGAAGCATTGGTCACGTGACCTCTTAGTGCAAGTGGCTTATTGGTATCAACCACCCCCACATCTTATAAACATGGATATGTCACAGGTCAAAATTAAATTCAGGTTAAAATCTTTTAAACCTAGGTTGATTCTCCATTTTCCCTGTGTATCACTTAGGGCTACGAGTAAAGAAAGTTACAATGCTTATGAAATCTTATCATAGATGAATGCGTTCTATGCTAACATCTTTAGCACAATAAAAAACACTCTTGCTCTTATTTAGATGTCTGTTTTAGTATGATGTCCTTCAGAGGTCAATTTAAGCTTGAGCCACATTGGTCTCCCTTAGGGGTTTAATTTTAGTTTTCAGACAAGCATCCCCGTCACTTTTGTGTGAAAGTCCATCTACCACCCTCCCACCCCTCATTTCATGCTAACATCTTTAGGAAAAAAAAAAGCACTCTTGCTTTTATTTAGATGTCTGTTTTTGGATTGTGTCCTTTAGAGGTCAATTTAAGCTTGAGCCAAATTTGTCCCCCTTTGGGGTTTTATTTTAGTTTTCAGACAAGCCCCCCCGTCCCTTTTGTGTGAAAGTCCATCCCCCCCCCCCCCCCCCCTCCCCCACCTCTACCCGGGAAACAATATTTCTCTTGTTACCTGTCTGACCATGGTCTTAATCAGTCTGTTTGCTGCTTGTAAATCTTCTGGATGTGAACTCTTCAAAAGCCGAGACAGAAGCTAAATAAACAATGTACATTAATGTACAAACAAAAACAAATTAGTGAACAGTCATGCATGCATGTTTTGATAGATGAATAAACTTATGTTAATAAGCAGGTCAGCTAAAATCTGCCAGATATTCCTCAGGAATACAACCTAAACTGTATTCCTTTAATACCATAATCATTCAAATCCCAAGCTATAAAAATATTTAGAACTTTTTACATATTTATACATACCCAGAAGATAACAGGATTTACATGTATCTTATCAAAAAAACATATCAAGTTATATCTTTCAAAAAAGCTAACCTTTGATTTTTCTTCATCCTCAAATATTGTATCTTTGGGTCTTTCAGGTGGTGGATCCTATCAACAAAAAAGTTACGTGTATTATTATATCATTATTACTGACCATGGTGTTTTTCTTAACTTACACTAACTCAAAATAATGAGCATTTCATGTTTGGTTTTTAAAGATACATGTGTAAATAAAGTAGTAAGAATATTATTGTATTGATGAGATGTGAAAGAGTGTGAAAGTTTCTTTTATCAACTGCCATTCAAAAGAAATCCTGACAAAAAATATTACTAAAAATGAAAATACTCCCTGCAACCTCAGTTTAAACACTAAACTAATAAAAAAACAAAACATAATAAACTATTTAGTACTGGTAATCAGGGTGCGAAGAAATTCAGTTTTACAGCTTGCCATTTGGGCAAGCTGCAGCTATAACATGTACTAGCCCAACAGTCATTTTAATTAGCCAAAAAAAATTGAGGAGCAGGGTTGATTACAGATGTTCTGTCATTTAAATTTCCCAAAAATTCATTTTGCATCGGGCAAGTTAAGTTGCATGCTGCAGGCAATACAATAATATTAATACAAATGACAAAAGTTTACACGTATCTTAATTCAGTGTTATGTAAATGAATCAATAAGAAATATCACATAAAACCATAATCATAATATATTATTAGCATTTATCATGTCATCCCATAGCAATTATTTTAGCATTGGATTGGCTTCTGTAACTTGGAGTATCCTTAATTTAGTATTTACCAAATCAGTGAATAGCAATTTTAGCGCATTTTGATTGGCTCCTGTAACTCGGAATAACCTTGGCTATTCACTGTTTTGCGACCAGAGCCAAGATGGCGTCACATTTAGAATATGAAATTTGAGCGATAAATGAATCAGTGGTATAAAATAAATACCAAGAAAGCGACAAACTTTGGATTGTCAATGTTTACTGGTAGGTAGAAAATTATTTTCATACTAAATTTGCAACAAAATTGTAAAAATGCTCTTGACAATATCCCCAAAATGTTTGAAAATGTAGACAAAGTTCCTACTAAGTGACATTTTTAATTTACAAAAAGTTACTTTTTCATTTTTCTCCAGCTGACTTGGTAAATACAAAACAACCATCCCCCTCAGGGTCGGTGAACAGCACTAGATATGTACCTCGAAGCTTCGCATCTTGGTATATATCCTCCACTATTCACCTCCCCTTTGGGGGATAGTTGTATAATATTCATTTTTTTAGGGCACAAGTCAATATTACGGTGTTCTGTTTCACAACAGTTTCAGAAGATATAACATTTTACCCCCCTCAAGGTCAGTACATGGTGCTTTACAGCCTGTATATAAAATTCAAAACTTTCATCACTGTATAACTATTGTATACTTTCAACCATTATTTACCTTCCAATTAGGGGATACTGTACTACGTTAATAAATAAGATAACAACATCAACAGCACTATAGTCAATACGTACTACAGACTTCGCATAAGGATCTTGAGGGTCCTTTGTAACAATTCCTGCAAAAATAACAATCATGGGAAATTACATTGTAGAGCAAGCAATGAATGTCCCCTATACTTTTTTCATGAAGCATGATTGGGGACACTCTTTTATCCTTGGGAAGGGCAATTATTTAAGTTTTTATTTATTCATGATTTATGATTACCAATCCCAAGACAACTTTTATGTGTATCTCAAATCAGTTTAGGAATTAAAGGGTGACACCTGGACACCAATTTTCTTGAAGTTCTTTTTAGTGCATGGCCCATACCTGACCTTGCAAATTCTTGTTGTGTGACCAAACAGCTGTGACGACACTTCAGCAAGGCAGGTCATTAAGCCTGACTCATCCCAAGTCTTCTCCTTTGTCTCTCTTAAATAAATGTGGGAAGCGCATGCAGAATGTATGTGTGAGAAGGTGGTGGTGGGCAGGGGGGGGGGAGGTGTTGAAGGGATCTGCTGTTCTGTTACAGCCTACAAAGGACAAGAGACGACTGGGTATGAGTCAGGATCAAAGCCGTCAGGATTGTTTTCTTTTGTTTTATTCCACTTGATAGTGGAGTCACATTGATGGGAGTATTAACTTTACATATCACTTCATCACTTTTAAGACAAAAAAACTAAATAAATATTACTTTTTAAGAGAATGGTACAAAGCACATAAATCTACAGGGAAACCTTTGTGAATTATAACATATAAAAACATAATACAATATAAACTCAATCAATCTACAGCAAAGTACATGATCATATTTCTTGATATTATAGTTACTGTACCTGTCTGTTTTAGCATTTTATAAGCCTCTATAATTTTGGTTTCTTTTGGTAATCCTACCGTCCAACTGTACATCAATTCTATAATACGTTTTTTAACTGCATCAGGTGTCCAGTCTCCATCATACTGGGGTCAACATAAAAAGAGACTGGCAATCAGAAGGTAAATGGCTAATACATTCAAGATAATATGGTTTATAGTGAATTATTCAGGGAGAATCTGTCGGCAGTCAGCAAACTTGCAAACCAGGTGCAATTTCACCTTAAAATATACCTGATGCTTTCATTATTATAATGTGATAACTACCATTGACATACAGGGTTTTCAGTAAGCACAAATGGCAGACAAAAATGCATCGGCTACTTTGCTCAGAACAGTCGCCTACTTTCCCCCCCCCCCAAAAAGCAACTTGTTTTAATAATGTTGTAAACAAAAATCATCATAAAAACTGAATGAAAACGTTAGCTTAATTATGATGCGTTTTCAAGAACCACTGGTGTTATGTTATGCTTCAGTTACACAATGCTCTTTTTCAGTTAATTTTTCTTATGTTCTTCAAAAGTTTACGCAGACTTTGTTTACGTGCGAATGTTCTTAATTCTGAATATTGACATTTGTCCACTGCTTGTAAGAATTGATTGCGTGGATGTGAAACCTGAATGAAAGCTACGTGTATATTTTCTTGAATGAAAAACACACTTATTTGTACCCAATTTAGTCCCCTCAAAACTGGAAATCGCAATTAAGGGCTTTGAAATTCCTAAATTTTCTGGCAGAGCATGCCTCCAGACCTCTTTAAAAGAAGGGGACTAACAGCTACAGTCAGTTACTCTACTTAAACCTGCTGGCTACTTCAATAATTTGTTATTGAAAACCCTGGACATAACAGTGATCTCTCTCTTATGACAGTACAAGATCTAAACAGTTAAAAATAAACAATTTTCTTTCATTTGTACATGATAGTTTTGTGTTGCTGTCAATGATCAAGCATTAAGATAGGTTTTCTTGTCATCCATGGGTTGTGAAAGCCCCTAGCTTCTTACCACTTTGTTGTATTATTTTTTGATATTCAGCATGCAAAGAAAGTAGTGTCCGATAGCCTGGGGCTAGTGAATTTTGCTATCTGGCTAGTGAATTCTGTTTTTAACTTGCCCGATGGGCAAGTGATCTTTTTTGAGGAATTCAAATAACACAAGAACAATGAAATCAATTCTGCTCTACAAAAAGCTTTTGGGGCTAGTTGAAATGACGTCTGGACTAGTAAATGTTACCTTAAGCTTGCCCGAATGGCAAGCTGTAAAAATGATTTTCTTTGTACCCTGCTATTAATAATTATCTGTAGATGTTAAACTAGTCAAATTTGATTTCTGATTAATTTTGATTAACCTAGGTTGTTCCTTGATTTCCTTTGTTTCTTAATAGCACCACAAGACAAAGGAAATTAAGAATTGACCTACATGTAGGTTAAAACCAAATTTGACCTGTAACATTAGCATTAGGGAAAATAAACTTTGGAAAATCTGGTCACATGCACTAATAAGACAAAATTTCCTACAATGAACAGATTATTTACAATGGCAAAACTGTCCCAAAAAACAGCACCTTCGACTACAAATAATGTGGTTATCCGAAATATTATTACCTTGGATGAAATAAGTTTGATGAGCTCATTCAAGAATCTGTATTTTCCAACTTCTGTGTGAAATCGCTGGCCACAGTTTTGTACGCAGGCTTCAATAAGCTGATTAAAAGGAACAGGAAGTACAGGGTAATATACATAAAAGAATGGTTTACTTCATAACTGTACATTGTAAATTCATTAAGGGTTGCCTGAATTACTGTTTCATTGTCTTGCATAATACATTATTTTATAATCAGTGGTAAAGTGAAATTGTCTCTGTAAGTACAGACCTCAGGAAATTTGCAGCATTGCAAGCGTGTTTCTTGCATGTAAATCCACCATATCGCACGCAAATTACTGCGTGTATTTGACAACTTTCATCTTTGGCTGAAATCAGTGAAGAGATGAACACTGATCTCTTGCCCTCAAACTGTACCGTGAACAACAGTCATATTTTGGGGAAAAATCAGAATGATTGTTTCCCTTACCAGTCCAGCTACAAAATTACTGTTGATTCAGTTTCACTTTGTAGATAAATATTTAAGCAGTTTAATCATTAATTTTTAAGTCTCTTTTAAAATTTCCTAGGGCAATTTTGTTACACAATTGAAACTTGAATTTTTTTGCTGCACTGTTTGAAACGTTTTCAAGGGGCAAGGACATGTGATGTCCGGCACACCAGTATTTTATTTTCATTTTGTTATAAACTCGACTAGCTTTTGAAAAAAAAAAGTGTTGTCTAATTTGGCTCTTTGTTCCCTTAAGGCTGGAAATTCTTTTATTGTTACTTTTTTCTTTGCTGGTTAGAATTTTTTTCCCAACATCAGATTTTCCAACAGAAGCGATTCTATTCTTTTTATCAATGAAGCTTTCCTTATCTCCTCATGTAATCTGATCCATTTTAAGCAGTGAGAATTGCTTGTTTCATATGGAACAATTTTCTGTGCTTGAGCCATTGTTTCAAAAGCTTTTCTTCATTAAAACTTTACATAAATGACCACAAAATTAAAACAAATGCAGCAATTACTAATTTTCTTTGACTGCTGGGCCAGGTTTGATTATGATAATAATAATAATCATAACTATAACAAAATTCTCAAATCTGATTTCAACTGCCCTGATTTCAGCCTTAATTGGACACTTTGATAGGACAGTACGCGTCATGCCTAAGTAATTGAACAGTATGCGCCATCACGCACGCTTAAATGGCTTTTTTTTTTCACTGCTAGCAAAACAAAATTTCGAATTTCTTGTGTTTTGATTTAAAAAATAGCCTATTATATCACAAATTTTGTTAAAGTTATGATTAATTGGTAACAGAACTTCGTGTCATCCAATTTGGTCTGTAATCATATTCGTGATTAAACAAATCGGACTCCCGCTACGCGGTCGTCTGATTTTGTTAATCACTCGCATCATTACAGACCGAATTGGACTCCACTCAGTCCTGTTACCATTACTAATTATAATATTAATGATATTATTTTAACAATAAGGATATAAACAAGCCTGTGGGCAAACTCTCTGTTTTAGGGGAAGGGGGCTAAAAATCATGAGGACATGGCAAGGAAAAGAAAAAGTAAGGAGAGACTGGGTCTAGTCCGTCACTTGGCTCCCTTTACTTGCCGATTTTTTCCCTTTTTTCCACATTGAGGGGCCTGAATCCAAGCTTAACTCAAAACATGACCTTTTGACCTTTTTGCATATAAGTAAGGTGCCATTGTTTCCTAGATCATCAGCTGAAAGAGCTGCAGGAGGTGACTAATAAGATTGTTGGCTTATTTTTGGACCTCGGAGTTTCTTTGGAGAAGCACAGTAAGGGATGTTATGATATTTACAGATTGTAAAACTCACATTAAGACCAAGTATTGCTTCCTCTTCATGGGAACTCTTTACTTTTGTTGCTATGTAACGAATCCCAATTTGTGGACTGCCATGTTGTTTTACGTGAAAAGATTTAGAAACAATACAATACAATATTTATTTAGAAACCAAAAAATAAATTAATATTAAAGCTAAAAGTTAACAATAAACTTAATTAAGTTTCTTGGGTAATAAACAACACGCAGCCTGAATCTCCTGTTCTATTTTTGTCTTCATATTTGCATCTTACTGAATAACAAAAGCGCATGTTATATCGTACTAGGGTTAGTATTAATTGCCAGTCACAATATAATATTTATTGCCCCCGCAGGGTTCCGGCCCAGAGGCCGAAACCCGAGAAGGCACCCTAATGTCCCCCGCGTAAAGTAAAAGTATCGTATCGTCGTAGTGTTAGTATTCGAAATTTTCTCGATTTGATGAAACTAGGCGTGCTCGGTGGTCCTGGTTAATTTTCAGCGTGTGCGCCAGGCTCAGCAACCGCGCAAACTGGGTTTGTCAATGAGTCACATTCGCCGAATTGTGTCACACACAAGCACAACAAGTGGCTCCAAATCCTCACCCAGGAAGATTTTCCACCGAAACTCCTCTGGAGCGAGAACACCGACTTCAAATTCAGCATGAACAACGAAGGAGAAGACGTCAACAAGAAACCCCGGAGCAAAAGAAACATCGATTAGCACAGCGAAGGCAACGCCGACAGCAAGAGACAGAGGAACAGGAGATTGGAATCAGAGGAATTATGATCGTTTTACACTGTCGAAAACCCAGATTTCTTAGTTTGCCGGTTTCCCCACAGATATATAGATCAAAGTCTGCAAAGTTTCAGCTCTGTATTAAGGCCCGAAGAATAATAATTTTCAGGCGAACTGCACCGGGCCATATTTGTTCTTTGTTTTTGTCTTTTTCTAAATCTGGACATCGAAATAATGCTAAATCTGCTTTTCAATACACTGTTAACAATAACACCATATAATACGCAAAAAAGAAGAAGAAGAAAAGAAAGAACAACGTATGGACCTTTAAGACGATATTCGCAGTTGGTCACCCATCCACTTAGAATTCGTAACCCCGACCGACAGGGCTTAACTTGAGTGCCCTTACCAGGGTTAGTTTATTGCGAAATCATTTATATCAGTTGCGTTCAAGAATGTCACACTCGAATCCAAAGCATTCGTTCGACACATTAGTTATAGGACATTTATATTATTAGTTACAAATAAATAATTAAAGATGGTTTTTTTGTTTAACACGCGTTCTATTACATTTGCAGTGTTGGTTGAACTCATTATGGGATGTATAAAAAACAATGTTCCATCCTAAGAATGACATGTATCTGGATTTTCATAAACCCAGGAAACAAAGTGTAATAATTGAAAAAACACAACAGAAAACAAAAGAATTACACTCAGAAACTCTAATACGAAAACTGCATTTCAAAGGTTCATAGCAAATACATGGACAACCACAAGGAGTCTTCATTCGGGTTTTAAAAGGTCGGGGGCAGATTTAGTGACAACTATGACTAGTTTTTAAAGGTAAACTTCAGGAAGACCTACCCATCCAGATCTAGATTAATTCTGTCACATACTGGAGATCTGTAATCAACTCCATCGTTTGTTTTTGATGGATCCGTTGCTTTATCTAGGAGAAAGTTTTTCCGTAAGTAATCTCGGGAGATTGACCAAAAGAAACTCAAACTTTCAACATAATATACTCTACCAATCAAAGTCTCCAACGTTTCCGCCATCTTGCCCTTTCAACTTCGCTTATACGCATGCGTTAGAGGGAAGCGCGGTTACTCGGCAGTTAATCAAAATGGCGTCCGAAGTTAGTGGATTTCGCACAATCTGCGTAAAATTTAACGAGAAATGTAGCTCTTACCACTTTTTGTTTTGTAAAAGACATTCCACACGAGATGAAGATGCAAAAAAGCCACCAGATAAGACGCTTTTTGTCGTAAATATCCCACCATATTGCACAAAAGTAAGTGCCTTTGGAACACGTTTTGTACACTCAAATTGTGTCTAATCTCGCTACTTGCTATAATTTTATTGTAATTCTATCTTGCGGTACTCTTACTATGATTTTGCCTTTCATAAATTTTCTTAGGGAGCCTTAAAGCGCTTATTTAGCTGTTGTGGTGCAATAAAAGATGTTTATCTTGTGAAGCAACCTGGGTCGGAAGAAAAGGAGACAACAAGTTTAGTCATTCCCTCTCAAAAAGTCAAGGTAGATTTACAAAGTTTCCCATATGCTTAGTTTTATGAAAGTCTCTTTCACCAAACATATGTATCTCCCATACACAACAACAGTAAGCAAGGCCACGTTCTAGCAGAGCCCCGTGCATGGCCCGTAGCGCCTAACTTTTGTTCCCAGGCGACTAGAAAATCTTAGCTTTTTCATAGAAGTCAAATGCTGGGCACACTAGACTTCACAAGTTCAGAGCACTGGGCTCCCTTCAATTTTTCTTATAGCAAAGCCTTGAGTAAGTTTTCATGCACCCCGCGAGCGCACAGAGCCTCCTTTTGCCTTCTTCTTGATTGAGGTGGGAAAAGGATGCCCTGCTTATAAATAGCGTTAAGTTAGCAGTTAAGTATTTTGAAGCTGCAACAGTGCAAACTTCTGGACTAGTTAATATTGTTTACTTTTCAAACACAGTTGTGAACGCAATTAATGCAATTGTGTAAGAAGCCTGAAAAAAAAATTCAGGACTTCAATGGGATTTGAACCCGTGACCTTGCGATACCAGTGCAATGCTCTAACCAACTGAGCTATGAAGTCACTGATGTTGGGAGCTGGTCAATTATGTGTTTGTTTAGAGAATCACACTGGTATCGCGAGGTCACGGGTTCAAATCCCATTGAAGTCCTGAATTTTTTTTTCAGGCTTCTTACTCAATTGTGTAAATCATGTTCACAACTGCGAGGATCTTTCTTCATTTGATTTCATTTTGGCAGTTCTTATATGATTTAAACTCATCACCAATTGATGAGCTTGGGTGTTGGTGCCTACAAAGTTGGTGGAGTGGCGCAATGCTCTAGCATGAGGAGGAGGTATCCATGGCAACCCTGCGAGCGACCCCCACCAGGCACCGTCACACTGAACAATTCAGTGGAATACTTACCGACCCAATACTTACCTAGCCCATACCAAGAGGGAGGGACGGATGGGAAAAACCAAAGTACAAACTGGCACGCAAACAGCAAGCTATTGCAACAACACTTTGCGAAGAACTGCAAGCAAGCAACTGTGTATATTAGTCACGAGGTGCCCCTGCTAGAGGCATCAGGCCACCCCCTACTATAGCTGGGGAAACAGCTGACCAGCATTGCTTCGAGGTTAACTTTGCCTAAATTACATTTAGCCACATTTATTTCATATACATCTATCACATTGTTTACTTTTGTCAAATGTTATTGGAGTGCAAGCTTCCATTTATTGATATAAAACCAATGATCATATTTGAGGCCGCTGTACCAGGTGCACAGCTGTTAGGCCTGGATTCAAAACTGTATCCATGCACTTAACAGCATGCATGTATGTACAAGCTCTGCTTGATGCTTACTGAAAACTGGATTGACTTAACAATTGACTAACACTGGGAATATTTATGTCATTTCCTCTTTGTAGGGATTCAAAGTTGGTTACATTGTATTTAAAAAATCATCTTCTATAAATACAGCGCTAGCTCTGGACAGCTCTACAATAAGAGTTTTATCAACAACAAACCAACCTGTCATTACAGGGATGAAAAGTAAGTTTTCAAGAAGTATTAAAGTGTGGCATTTATAGCTAGCTTAAGTGTTTTCAAAAAGGCACCGCGTTTGGCAACTTTCAATTTTGTTCTGAAAACATTTTTAATGCTCTCATATGTAGGGAAGGGGTGGGGATTGGTTGATCTTTCACTTCAGTAATTTTGTACTTTGTAATATTTATTGTTATTGCATTCTACATTAGCTTATGGATCTGTCGTCTTTGGAGTCTTTACTCTTTTACAGATTATCTTTTTTGTATGGCTTTTTTAATCAATATTTTAATTTGAAATTTGTACCATTAAATTATGAATAAATACATACATAAATAAATAAACATCATTTTATTCAGATGAGCAATACAGCTGCAGGGTTTGCAAATTTTGTTGATCAGTGGAGTCACTGTGACTTCTGTTTCACAAATTTTGGAGTCATTTTGGAATATTTAGAGTTAAGTACATCACCACGAAGAAAGCCATTTTCAAACTTTCCAGCACATGGTCCTGGCATGTATACACTATCGTGAGGGATACACGAAGTACCTGTGGCGGCCCGCTGACCTGGAAAGCTCAAATCTATGATGGTGGTCATCGAGTAAACTTTGATCGTAATTTACCCTCTTCCTGTTTCGTCGTGCAGTATAATTCTTTAATTAAGGTTTATAACGTTTACAATTAACGTAAATTGTATTTGTTGCGAAAAAGGTAAGGACAAAACTGTTTTTGTTACCGAAAATTTCTGGAGTCGAAGTGGCTCCCTGTTTGTTACCGAAAATTTCTGGAGTCGAAGTGACTCCCTCCATAACCTCTGTGGAGTCATCTGAACAATTTTGGTGTTGCGAACCCTGCAGCTGTCATACAGCACACTTTTACATAAATATTTAATTGACTATATGATAATGTATTTGGCAAATTATAATGATGGTGTGTGTCTGCTTTTCAGAGTGGATTCAAGAATACTACCAGCAATACCCAGATACTACAAATTTACAAGCTGAAATTGATGAATTTATGGCAAAGTTTGATGAGAACAAAGAACAGGTTTGCATAATGCCAGGTGTAATGCTGACCAGTGACCAGAGTTTTTTGTTGTTTTTTTTTTTTTTTAAAAAGCTTATGACCTCAAAATTTTTTATTTTTTTAATTGAAAGTACGCATTACTGTGGGAACCTCTGTTGAAAAAAATTGTGATTTGAATGCAACATGTTTTTTTTTTAGAATTTTTTAAAACAATTTTATTAAAATTGTTATATAGACTGAAACAATGTGTCAGGTTCTTCTGCTGTGTAAGAGAGACTACCAAGGAAAACACAAGTTAGTGATTGCAAAATAGAGTTGATGAGATGTACAAATATTAATGTCTCTTTTTAAATGTTGCATGTATACAGCATTGAAACTTAGTTCTACATGGTTAATGTTGTGTGTGTTGTCTCAGATGGACAAAGAAGCTGCAGAGGCACTAAACCAACCAGATGATGAAGGATGGGTGACTGTTGGAAGAAGTGGAAGGAACCCAGCAGCACCCAGATTAGATCCTGCTGAGTTAGAAGAAAAGCGGAAAAAGAAAAAGAAGGTACTTTATCATGTTTAAGTCCTTAGAGTGATCAATGGCTAATTTCTGCTCAAATGCCACTGCTTATAGTCACACAAAGAGCTCATGAGAATGAGAAAGATGATCACTATCATAAGAATAAATACATGTAAACACACTTTGTTATTGATATATAACCCCTGTTAGCTTACAATTTACAGTTCTCGTCATAATTTATTCGTTCAAGAATATACACAAAGTGTGACTAAGTAGATGTGGGTGTAAATGTGATCTTTGGTTTCTTTTTTTTCTTTTTTTTGTAGCGAGCACTGTTAAATTTCTATCAATTTCAACAACGAGAATCAAGGAGAGAACGTGAGTATCAGTATTTGATTATTTAGATAACGGTACTGTACTCGTGTAAGTAACACTACAGCTGTAGCTAGCTTCTGCAAGATCACGCTCGCCTCTTGTTTTCCGTCACAAAATTGCTAACCTGTGTAGCAAGCATTCCCGTGCGGTTTCGGAGCAAAGAACAAGGAACGAGAGTCAAATATCGCATGAAAAATGGTGCGAGTAAAAGAGCGGGGAGGGGGTGGGGAAGAATTTGCTAACCTATCAGAAAGATTTTTAATTGAAGATCGTACATGTAAATTAAACCAAATCTTGGAGTAACGTCAAGATTGTTTTTAACAGTAAAGGAGTAACACCCATTAGACCTACTATTTGAAGTCATTTAGCACCCATCGAGAAAAGTGTTGGTGAAAAATAATGAAACATCTAGCCACCTGTGAATCTTTGCATGATCCAACAAACGTTAGCCAACAATAGTAGGATCTTGAACCGCACAATAAACGTTGCGGCATACATTCAACAAATGTTGGCTCGCAATTTTGGAACGATTTTCTCACATACAAAGTTGCCACTCATTTTGTGTTAATAGAGAGATTAAGATTTACAGCTATGCCAAACGGCAAACGTCACACTCAAGTTGAGAATTTCTCAGAATAGAAAATAAGCAGATAAAGACTGTCCAGAACAATTCTTATGTATAAAACTGGCATGAAACTACTAATATTTTTAGTTGAAGTAATAAACAGTTAACAACAATTAAGGGAAAAACTTGGCCACATGGTACAAATTCACAATTGCCGTTTGGCATAAACGTGAATCTTAATCTCTCCACTGTAACATTTAACCGTCCGAGAAGAAAGAAATTTTGGCCAGCAGCATCAAAATGTTTTTGCCCACATGCAACTTTACCATCCAAACCTTTTTGTTTTCCCACACATCCAACATTGTTATTCAAAAAGGCTGACCACCAACATCTGGAACGCCTTGACTCTCGTTTAGTGTGACGATTAGACACCTCGCCAATAATATTCAGATTACTGGAACGTTTACCCACAAATTCAACCTCATAATCGACCAAGTATCGGCTGGGCCAACTGTCTTGGGACATTTAGCCACATGTTTATCAGTGCAATCCAATGAATGGTGGCCAACAATGTTGGAATACATGGGCTAACAATGTTGGAATGCATGGGCCAACAATGTTGGAAAGCATGCTATTAAACTTATCAGCCTTGAACAAATGCTCACCCAGGGCTTCAAGCACTTACAAGTAGTTATCAATTCAGGTGATGGATGAATCTAATGCTCTTTTCGATTTCGCTGCGATCTTAGCCTGTGCCACAGACGCAACTATACTTCTGGTTACTAACTGGGGTTACATTACGTCTGTAACGCAGGCTACAGCGACCTTAGTGAATCTTACATCAATATTACTGTTTTAATTTCCCGTAACTTGCTTGTTTCATCTTTATTTTGGTAGATATTGCTAATTTACGAAAGAAGTTTGATGAAGACAAGAAGAGAATCGCCGAAATGAAGTCAGCGAGGAAATTTAGACCATACTGAAGAGTTTAATGTAGCAATAGTTCTAATTGTTTTATTATTTTATTATTACTATATTTCAAGTTTTTCTCCAAAAGTCATTGCTCTTACTGGCACCAGACAAAAGCAGCCAAACAGTACTAAACTAACACTGCTGGCAATGCTCTAGACTGCTTACAATCCCTTTTCCCCCTACAATCGATGATATAGATCACTTACTTGTAAAGTAAAGACTCGTTTCTTTCCTTCAAGCTGACCTTTTCCTCTCACTTAAATGAAATTTCTTAGGGTGTTTTCCATTTGTCAGAACTGACTAGTCAGATCATTCCCATTGTAATGAGAATTTCACCTTTAATCAAAACTATCTGGCCAGATTAGTCAGATCCTAAATAGTATGCACGAAGGACATGGTTTTGTAGCAAAAACTCTTGATAAAAGCCTATTTCATTTTAAAAATGACTGGTCTGGCCATGGTCCGGCCGGACAGTTCTGACTTTTGGAAAGCACCTTAAGTCTCTTTAATATTATAAGTAGAAAAAACAGATGTGAAAATGTCTTTATCAGGAATTGATGCCCAGGTGCAAGAACTGTAGTCCAGGGCTGTTGCTTAGGCCCGGGGGCTGGGGATCTAGGATTTCCCCCGGCTACTTTGAAACAAAAGGAAAATAGACCATATAGAACTGCATCAATTTAGGTTTCGGAGAAACTACCCATCTACCCCTCCCCTATGCCATCATTTTGCCCTAAGTGAGAAGTAAGTGATAATGTTGGCTTAGGGGAGGGGTAGGAGGTCAGTTTCCCAGAAACCTAAATTGATCTCAACTTCCTAGATGTTCAATTTTCCGCTTACTTATTGCATGTACATGCAGGGGCGGATCTAGGGGGAGGGTGCAGGGGGTGTGCACCCCCCCCCCGAGATGACCTGCGGTTTTCTAATACAACTGGTATTCTGCCAAAAAAATATATATTTATATATGTGGTTTATTGGTGTTGAAGTAGAGCAAGAGACGAGTGCACCCCCTCCTAAAAAAAATCCTGGATCCGCCCCTGACATGTACCAGCAACTTGAGATCTTTAGAGAGAGCCCTACTCGACAGTGTAGTCCATTGGTCATAAGCTACACCAGGGTGGATTTACTGCCATTTCATCTTTGATTTACAGATTTACAGTAACCGAAATCTAACCATTTCGATCATAAGCATTGTAACAAGGCGAAATAGAATTGTGTAGGCATCATTTTATGTTATTTTATTTTATTATTTTGCCACACAGAATAAATAATTTATTCTGTGTGGCAGGTAGATAATAAATGGGTTAATTAATATTAAATTTAAAATGAGCATACAGCTTGGAAGGAGTGACTGTGGCGGGGAAATCCCCGAGAAGCCGAGCTTCAAGGCGGCATTTAAAAATAAAGAAAAAAAACGTGTATTTTAAGTATATAAGTGTGTTTAGAGAAAAATGTAGATATAAGGAGTTAAGGTGTTTCGATACAGTTTTTCGGAGGCCAAAGCTACTCTGTCCAATCGCTATGAAATTTTCACCAATAAAATTGGCGATGGATTGAGATTTGTGAAAATGTAGTTTTAAGTAAAATCAATATTGCTATGACAACAATAAACAAAAAACTCTGAAATTGATAAAAGCCAAATTTTGTGCGATCTAGACCGGCTACTGATAATTCAATACTAGGAACTTAAAGTCTGGTGTTTAGCAAACAACCTCCGTAAGAAGTATAAAATTCTGTATGTTTGAATTCAAAAAAAAAACGAAAATAATTTTCAATGGCCGTGATAGATTATTTAACAAAATGTTATAAATGACTCAAATTAATCTCAAGTAGCGTCAGAATGCTGCTTAAATGTCACATTTCGATGCTGGGAAGTTTTGGTGTGTTTTAGTTCTTGCGATCTTGAAAACTAACCCGTTTTCTCACCACCTGTCTTAGTGCAACTTCATTCAAAATTTGGACTTTCAGCGCTTTTTTGTATATCTCTGAAACGACTTGAATGAATTTTTTTCAAATCTCTACACATAATCTTCATAATGTATATAATAATGTCTGAAACTTTCATTAAGATTGATTTACTGCAACACATTGAAATTATAAGACAAACCTATCCTACGAACCGCTCAAAAATCCGCGCTACAACATTCACTATTTTGTCATTCTGCTAATTTTTCCAAATTAATGCGGACAATACATATCTCCATTACCGATACATTTTAATGTGAGTATTGTACATTCAAAAGATGCGATAAATTCAAACTAAAATGCTCTAGTCATGGAGGTATGTATAGTGCCGTTAATAAATTAGCATAACGTCAAAACAGTGGATGTTGTAACGCAGGCATTTGGCAGGTTCGTACCGTAACATACCGGGGCTTATATTTTTCAAAGGCCCTTCTTGAGGGGCTTATATTCGGAGCGGCTTATCTACAGAGGGAAATTTGCGTTTCAAAATCGATTGGGCTAGCCTTATAGTTGGAAGTAAATTTACCGTTTTTGCTATATTTTACTTTGTATTTGAGGGCAAATTCCCAAGTACAAGTCCCCGGATGGCTTATATTTGGAGGGGTGATTTAACGGAGGGTTCTTATTGCGTTACCGGTTTGGGGGCCTTATATTTGGAGGGGCTTATACATGGAGGGGCTTATTTTCAGAATTTTACGGTACGTGACGAGTGGGTGATCATTTATTTACTTAACAATATCTCAAATACGAATATACTTTACATTTTCCACAAAAGTTCTTAACAACCTCAACAATCTATCAATTAAATACATGCAACCAAGTTAATCTGCAATAAAACAGCGAATTTACTTTACCGTAGAGTTGCTTGCAAACGCTTTCACGAAAACGTGACTTTTTACATTCAATGCACGCGTTCAGTTTAGACGTATCAATACATGAATCGAAAACCAAGGGCCTTGGTTCGAGGGAAGTTAGATCATTGCCAAAATACCAACACGTATCAAACTGATTGCCATTTTGTTAATGACCCAGTATTGTTCTGTCCAGTTTGTGACTTTGAATGATTGACGTTGTCATATAACGTTGGCTAGAGTGATCGTTTATTTACTTAACAATATCTCAAGTACGAATATACGTACTTCACATTTTCCACAAAAGTTCTTAACAACCCAGTCAACAATCTATCAATTAAATACATGCAACCACGTTAATTTGCAATAAAAGAGCGAATTTACTTTAACGTAGAATAGCAGGAATTGCTACATTAATTCCGAGAAACGTATCGTCTCAATCTTCACTTGTTTTCAAACGCATTCACGAAAATGTGACTTTTTACATTCAACGCGTTCAGTTTAGGCGTGTATGAATACATGAATGGAAAACCAAGGGCCTCAGTTCGAGGGAAGTTAGATCATTGCCAAGATACCAACACGTATCAAACTGATCGCCGAAAATAAACTGCATGCCGCACCGCGACTCCATTTTGTTAATGAGCCAGTATTGTTCGGTCCAGTTTGTGACTTTGAATGATTGACGTTGTCATATAACGTTGGCCAGAGTGATCGTTTATTTTAGTGGATAATACGGGGCCGGGCTGCGGGGTCCCGGGATCTGTGGAAAACACGGGGTCCCGGGGTCTGTCGTTTTTGTGACTACTGCACATGACCAAAGAAGTCACCATTGTCATCTGGTGAGTTTTGCTAAAATGAGTAAGTGCCAGTTCAGGCTCCTGATAATTAACAATAGAATATATATATCGGAGCCACCAGCGTACAAAAGATAACCAATTTTCGGGATCTTTCGACACGACGATGATATGCCAAGTCCGTCATCATCATCATCTTTGTTATTTATACACAGTAAATACATCAGGCAAGAAATAATACTACTAATACTAAAATCACTATGGTATTGACTATGTATGACTTAGAATATAATTACATATTAGAGTGACTTTATTAAACGGTGTACAATTATGTAAATACAAATATAACTTAGTAGAAGAAATAAACATATATCTATAACGTAAAATCTAAAAGAGGAAAGAAAGATTAATGCCTGTTTTCACTGAATGCCGTGTCAGTTAACTGACATCTGTCGAAAGTTAGCCAGAGATTTTGTTTTCCTAATAGAAGAGGGCAGACTGTTCCAGAGAACAGCACCGCTATAGTACCTAACTGTACCTAAAAGCGATAGCGTGCGATTGCCTTTTTTGGCAGGGAAGGAAGGTGTGACAAGATAAAAGAAGAGGCTATCAATCCCAGCTCCCCTTGTTTCTTTTTTTTTTTTTTCACAAGACGAAGAATATTGTTTTGTGTGGTCTCTCTCTTAAACCAGTTCATCAATTGCACAAATCTTTGATTTGAAAAGGGTGTTTAAAATACACCAAAATATGTCTTGGACGGAAAGAGAAATTCAGGCTATTGCAGTATGGATCTCAATGCAAATGCAAATAACACTCATTTCCACAAGAAAGGTTGTGCACTTGGCCTCATTTTGAGAGTAAGGGTTTTTGGAACTCGGAAGTGGCCCATTGTCGGCCTGGAAAACTCAGTGTGGAGGAGGCAGTAGCCACCCGGGGGGGCACTTGGGTATTTTTTGGGTGGGTATGTGCCGCCCGGGACTCCAAATTGGCACCCCGTTCTAAAAAATAATTTCCCCTAAAATTGATACCCGTTCTGGAAATGGGCCAATTTTTTGTACCCCGTTCTAGAATTTGCCTTAAAACTGATACCCCATTCTAGAAATGGCCAATTTTTTATACTCCGTTCTAGAAAGTTTGTAAATTGAAATAGCGCTGTTTTTTTAAAAAGATTTTTCCTTATTTGTTCGACTTATGCATCAAATAACTTCTTCATTGTAATCAGCAACAATTTTAAGCAGAAGATAAAGCCGTGATCCACAAGTTTTTATAACTCGTTCTAGAAAACGCCTCTAAAATGGATACCCCGTTCTAAATCGGGAGCTTCAAAATCACGACCCCGTTGGGCGGCACATACCCGTATAGGTAATGTATGGGAGTACCCCCCCCCCCCGGAGTAGCCACAAA